AAAAAAAAAAAAAAAAAAAAAAAAATAGACAGATAAATAAATAAAAATAAACACAAATTGACAGGCCTTTCTACAGGCTCGCCACTAGAGGGCAAACTTCCTGTTTCTCCTCCTGCACCCACTCTCTTGGTTTATTTCTGGTCCTCACACATGACCTACAAATCATCAGGCACAGCAGTGAGGGAGTGCAGGGGGCTTTTAATCCAGCTCTGCTTCCTCTAAATGTTCTCAAACCAAGAAGAAAAGGCTGAAGCCCCACAATCCTGCAGCTTTTCCCCCTTCAAAGCAGCASAGAACATAGGCGTGGCTGTTTTCTTGTAATAAACACTGACAACGAATGATCAGAGGGGGAAAAAAAATCACAAATGTAAAATTAAAGACTATTCCTTGAAGAAAGGCATGGAGCTTTGTTTTAAGATCATGATGAGAAGGAACTGCTTTGACGAAGGCCAGATTTACAGAGWCCAGAGATTTATCGCCTTTAAACAATGAATGTTTTTAATGGCTATATTATGCTTTTTTTTCAATGAGGTGCAATACATCACTGGAAAGTTATTTGAATTTCTGCTTWGACTGATACCTTTTTAACAGTTTAATTCAACACAGGACCATTTTTACTTTTTGTGTAATTCTGAGCTTGATGGTTTTTAACCCCTTAAAGGGTCCCACATACTCGTGCGTATGTGTGCAGAGGCGTGCAGACTCCTCTCATATTGTCRGCATATGTTTGAGACTTCATACTTGAGCCTACTGACTGCCTGACAAATTCTTTAATTTCTTGCTATTTCAAGGACGAGGAGGAAGAGATAGTTTGCGTTTTAGCTTTAAAACAACAAAAGAAAAGAACTACCTTACCCAGGATCTGAGCTATTTCCTCCCATGAATTTGTTGCTCGCTGAAAGTCTTTAGATTCCTTCACTAACRTTTCATAAAGTCTCTATGTTTTTCTAATCTTCTCTGGGAGAAGCTCTTCAAAGTTTGACTCCATTTTGACCACGAATGACAACGATTCTCAACTTTATCTGCTTGGTGTCACATCCAAAACAGTTTGACGTGAACTCGCAGTTTATTGTGCGACACCATGGACGCGGACTTAAAAAACTGATCTCTACGCAGACCAGTCTGACGGATGGCCGCTCTCAAGTTAGCATTGAGTCTGCCTTGAGTCTGTCCAGACCTCAGCGGAGCGAAGTATGCYCGAGTGGGTGCCTTAAATGGGCAATATCATGTAAAATCAATTTTTTTAAGTTTTATATCATGTTATAATGTTATACTCTCATAAAAACATGCCCAAAGCCTTGCTCTGACTCATTCATGCATGTTTGAGAAATCCTGCAGCGTTTTTAGGAAGCCATGCTGAGGAGCAAAACAACAGGTGGGGACCAGAAACGCATTTTGGTACTAGAAACGACGTGTCTTTAAGCCGAACTCCCTCATCACGGAGCACACCTCCCCACCCCCCACTCCTGCAGGCTCTT